AAACAGCGCAATTTTTAAAATGGGGAAAGGACTCAGGTTGATCCCCAGCACCACACACAAAAAGGAAAGAAAGAAAAAAGCCAAAGGATCTAAAGACATTTCTCAAAAGAAAACATACAAATAAACAACAGGGTATATGAAAAAAAAATGCTCTCCATCACTAATCATCAGAGAAATGCAAGTTAAAACCAATATTCACCTCACAGTTGTTAGAATGGCTATTATTAGAATAACAAGTGTTGTCAAGGATGTAGAGAAAAGGGAAATGTGTACACTGTTGGTGGAAATGCAGATTAGTACGATCATAATGGAAAACAGTAAGGAGGAAGGATCTCAAAAAGTTAAAAAATAGATATATTATGTGATCCAGCAATCCCACTACTGAGTGTATATCCAAGAGAAATAAAACCAGTCTGTCAAAAAGATACCTACACTCCCATGTTCACCACAGCATTATTAACAATAGCCAAAAAAAGGAAACAACTTTGTATCCATTAACAGATAAGAAAATGTGGTATATATTTACAATGGAATACTATTTGTCTTTTTTTTTTAGTTGTTGATGAACTTTTATTTTATTCATTTATTTATATATGATGCTGAATCAAACCAGTGCCTCACCAAGTACACTACCACTGAGCCACAACCCCAACCCTGCTATTCATTTTTAAAAAGCAGAAAATCCTGTCATTTGGATGAATATGAAAGTCAGTGTGTTAAGTAAAATAACCCAGGCATAGAAAGATAATAGCACAATATTCTATAATATGCTGAATTTAAGGGGAAAAAAAAAAACACAGAACACAGAAATAGAGCAAAATAGTGGATCCCAGAGACTAGGAGTTTAGGTATTAAGGAAATGTTGGTCCCAAAATTTAAGTTAGATGAAGAATAAGTTCAAAAGATATATTCTACATAATGACAACTACAGTTAATAACAATATATTGTATCTGGGCTGGGGTTGTGGCTCAGTGATGGAGCACTTGCATAGCATGTGTGAAGCACTGGGTTCTATTCTCAGCATCACATATAAACAAATAAATATAGGTCCATCAATAACTAATAAAAATAATTTTTAAAAAATTGTGAAGAGAGGGCTGGGGATGTGGCTCTAGCAGTAGCTCGCTCGCCTGGCATGCGTGCGGCCCGGGTTCGATCCTCAGCACCACATACAAACAAAGATGTTGTGTCCACTGAGAATTAAAAAATAAATATTAAAAATTCTCTCTCTCAAAAAAAATTGTGAAGAGAGGAATTTTAAGTGTATTCATCACCAAAAAAAGTGAAATAGCACATTAAATATTTTGATTAAGCCATTCCATAATATGTATATGTATCTATATACATACATCATGTTGTTTATTATAAATGTATCTAATTTTTACCTGTCAAAATAAATTTAAGGGCTGGGGTTATGGCTCTGTGGTAGAGCGCTTGCCTAGCACCTGTGAAGCACTGGGTTTGATCCTCAGAACCTCATAAAAATAATAAAATAGTGGGCTGGGGACATAGCTCAGTTGGTAGAGTGCTTGCCTCACATGCACAGGCCCTGGATTCAATCCCCAACACCACAAGTGAATAAATAAAATAAAGGTATTGTGTCTATCTACAATTTAAAAGAAAATTTTTAAATAAATTTAAGAGGCTGCAGTTGTGGCTAAATGGTAGAGCATTTGCCTAGCAGGTGTGAGGCAATGGGTTTGGTCCTTAACATCAGATAAAAACAAACAAATAAAGGTATTGTGTCCATCTACAACTTAAAAAAAATTACTTAAATAAATTTAAACATAAAAAATTTAAGGGCTGGGGTTATGGCTCAGTGGTAGAGCCATAATTCTAAATAAATAAATAAATACATTTAAATAATCTATCACAATGTGGGGACCCTATTTGAATATTTCCTTTTTTTTCTTTTTTTTTGGTAGTGCTGGGAATCAAATTTGGGGTTTTGTACCTATGAGGCAAGCATTCTACTACTGAGCTATAATCCCAGCCCCTGGATACTGATTTTCTAAAAATGTTTAAAATTTATAGCATTTGTGAGACAACTGAAACTTGAATACCATCTGAGGATACTAAAAAGATTTTTTAAATGTGTGAATGGTATTGTGATAATATTGTGGTGATATGAAAAAGGAGTCCTTTAGAGATGCATAATTCAAATAGCAATGAAACATGATTGCTATGATTTTCTTTGAAATAATAGGTAAAGAGGGGGAAATAGGTGGGTAACTAGTAAAATAAGATTGGCTGCAAGTTTTAACAGTTGAAGTTGGTGGTGAGTTCACTATACTTTTCTACTTTTACAAACTCCTGTATTTTTAAATACACACACACTCACACACACACACACACACACACACATTTAGTTGTAGATGGACACAATACCTTTTTATTTATTTTTATGTGGTGCTGAGGATGGAACCCAGTGCCTCACACATGCTAGGCAAGCACTCTGCTATTGATCTACAACCCTAGCCCAAACTCCTATAATTCTTAACAATAAAAAGCTGTTTTTAAAGAATTTTTAAATAAACATACAGGTAAAAGCTGGGATTGAAATTAAATGATGGTGCAGTAGTAGGGTTTTACCAGCTGTTCCATCTTTACTTCTTTTTTTCTTAACTTCTGACCAGGGATAGAACCCAGGGTTGATCTGATCTGTCACTAAACTACATCCCCAGTCCTTTTTTTTTTTTTTTTTTGGAGACACAATCTTGCTAAGTTAGTTGCCTAGGTGGCCTGGAACTTGAGATCCTCCTGCCTCAGCCTCCTGAGTAGCTGGGATTATAGACACCTGGCTACTTATGATTTTTTTGTCTTGATTGCCCTACATTATTTCTGGAAAGTAGGTTGTCCTTTATTTTTCATTTCTAAAATTGCTTTAATGAAAGATAACTTATTTATTCAAAATGTTAGAAATAAATATTTTATGCTTCCTATCTGGAGAACTATATCTGAGTTTCTGCTTTTGTTACCTATATATCATCCCCTCTAGCCAACTTTTCTTACATCTTGCTGTTCCCACTCTTTTCGGTTTGCAATTCTTTACGTAAGTTAGATTGACTGGGAATTTTTTTTTTTTAAATGACCAGGTTCAGTTTCTAGACTTTTCTATTCAGTCATCTAAAGTAGAGCACTTATGTATGTGATTGTTTAATGTTTTATGTTTCCTACTGGACTGTAAGTTTCATGAAAGCAAGGTCTGAATCCCCTGGTGTCTAGTACAATACCTTGAACAGGTGTTTAATAGTTGTTAAATGGCTGTTTTCTTTTGTGACATATTGAAATTTCATATCAGAAAGAGTTGGGACTATTCTTTTGCAGAAAACCCAAGAGAATATTTAATCTCTGTGTTGGAATGTATGAAAATTGCTAAAGAAACAAATGTAGCTTTTCCTTACTTTATGGATAACTCTAACATCACGGCCATGTTTGAGATGCTGGACAATTCAGGCAAAGGCACCATATCATTTGTACAGTACAAAGAAGGTTAGTATTTTCTATAAATTGAAGGAATAATTTATGGTCATTTCATAACTTTCTCTAGTTGAAAAGAATCCTCATTTTGCAAATTTTCATTTCTTCTCATTTTGATGTTTACAGCACTAAAAACCCTGGGTCTATGTGATGCAGATGAAGATTTAAAGGATGATGGACATATAATAAATCTGAATAGGTTCAAGGAGGAAGTGTAAGTCTATCTTTTAAATAATAATTTTAATAATGTAGCATGATTTTCAAGTATTTATTATTAATTCTGTTGCAAATGAGTTCCTCCCTTTTGAGAAAAACCTTTCATTGCCCTGAAACTTGAAGCAACTAGAAAGTGAGGACAGGTGCATGCCTATACTCCCAGCAACTTGGGAGGCTGAGGCAGGAGGATACCAAGTTCAAAGCCAGCTTCAGAAATTTATCGAGGCCTTGTTTCAAAAAATTAAAAAAGGGCTGGGATATGGCTCAGTGGTTAAGTGCCCCTGGGTTCAATCCCTGGTACAAAAAAAAGAAAAAAAGAAGAAAGAAGGAAGGAAGGACAAGCAAGGAATGTTCCCTTCTGGGAAATGCTGGAGTTAGGATGTTCCAAGGCAACTTCATTCTTTCCTCAAGGAAACCTCAGCAATTCTCAAAGGATGAGATACAAAAACCTAGTTTGCTAAAACTAATAGAAAAGCTTTGAGCTCAACACACTAGTTGAAAAGTTTCTGTACACAGTAATAGAGTTTATCTCAAAACTTACTTATTGCAAAGTAAATGTTTATCAATAGTGTAATACACATTAGCCTGACAGTTTTAGATTTGAGATATTATAACCAGTGTTGAAAGTAATAAATGCTCTGTCAGGAAAACTATTGTAATAAAATTCTATATTTGTAGAAAGGCTCTAGTTAATTTAGCTTAATTTGTTTGCAAGTTTTACTCTCTGAGATTTATTGATCAAGAAACCATTATTTAGGGCTGGAGTTGTGGCTTCGTGGTAGAGCACTTGCCTGGCATGTGTGAGGCCCTGGGTTCGATCCTCAGTACCACAAATAAATAAATAAAATAAAAAATCCACTGGCAACTAAAAAAATATTAAAAAAAAAAAAAAGAAACCACTATTTAGTATAGCCCAAAGCCAAGGAAAAGTCAGAAGAAAAAAGAAAGTGCAATATTTTTGTCACATTAGTGACAAAAATATTAAACAAAAATGTTTAATTACATCTTCTACCATGGGGGAAAGACTGAGGCAGCGTGCTCTAGCCTAAAATGTTTCATCCAGAGAGAAAAGGTTTCCACTGTCACAAAGAATGGAACTAAATATTTTATTTATTTATTTTGTGGCTAGGGAATGAACCTACAGCCTTCACCTGCTCCAAGAGTATTTTAAATGGAAAGATAGTTACAGAACATGAAGTATAAACCTAGCTAATTCACCATCTCATAATTTGTTTTCTCATGGAAAAATACTGAATTCACAAACTGGGTACAGGAACCTCAATGATAAACATGCATTCTTAAGTGACTTTAAAAATTTATTGGCTATGTTTGATTATCCACAAAAGTTTCCTTTAGCACACGAAGTTGAAAGTTATAATTTCTTTGCTTTTGTATTTTATTCAACATATATATATTCAGCATTTATATTTGTAAATGGAATTATTCTGAGTTTCCATAGTTTTCTGTTTTTGGTTTTCTTAGGAACAAGAGAAATCGGGAAATATGGTCATCATTTTGGTAATACCATGAATTCAAGATAATAAATGATTCAGTAAAGTTGTCATTTGTCCAGTTTCATTAATTCAGAACATCTTCATAACTTTAAATCCAACTGCCTTCCTTTTTGTTTAAAAAAAAAAAACAAAAAAACCCACAACTTTTTCTGAAAGATGGATTATTTTCCAGTGTTAGGCCAGTTTGTCCTCAAATTAAGTAGAATTTCAACATCTTGTTGAGCCAGTTTATAAATTCCAACTTCATTTAAAGCTGCTGTGGCAGTAAGCTGCCCGGAAGCTGACTGCAGTACATCTTTCAGAAGTAATGCAGAACCAATGTTCAAATTCAAAACAATACAGGCTTCTTTTACACTGTTTAGGAGGAAAAAAAAGAAAGGAGGTAAACGGAATTTTTTTATTATCTCTGTCATCCATATTGTAATAATTTCATTTTGAGAAGCTAAAGTTTCCCCATGCTGCTGCTGGTCAAATATCCTCTCTATCAAAACTATTTTTGGACTAATTATTTGTCTTTTCAAATATGTTGGGACTACAGAGGTGCACAAAATTTGTAAGTTCATTAGAATTTGTAAGTTCATAAGGTACTAGAATCATGCTTCCAATATGTAGCCATTTGTTCTCTAAATACAATACTTGGTACTAATAGTCTATTAATGTAGCTACCACTTTAGGTCCATTAGGGTACGGAAAAACAGAAAATTAAGCGATTAAAAATGAAAGCAGAAGATAGGTAGAATACTAAAATAAATCTGAATATATTTCTAAGAATTATTCTCACATACGTTTATATAATTACACTTAGAATCACAATATCAAATGTGTAAGAAAAAATTTTCTTCTGGCCTGGCTTATTGTTAGGTATTAAACACATGTGTATTTGCTTACATTTACTGAATATAGCAGAAACCACAGTTGCTTTCATTTTCTATTTATTCTCCCAGGAATAATCAACTGAGAACATTAAACCAAATGTTTAGGAAACAAAGTCCAACTGGATAATTTAAATCTACTTCTGGTGAATTTTCTGAGTTCATGGGTCATATCTCATAAATGATTTTGCTTTTTCCATTGTGTTCTGAACATACAGTAGCTATACAATCAATGTTTTAAGATTTTAATTGATCTCCTAAGTAGAACAAAATATATTCCATGCATGTATAATTTTATCAAAATACTCTTGTCATGTATAACTAAAAAGTACCAATTAAAAAAAAGATTTTAATTTCTTATTCCAAACATCAGTATAATTCTTAAAGTTGCTAAAAGCAAATCAACCTTCTCTAATAATTTGATACATCAATATTAATTGTTAAATATTAAGCTTACTGTTTAAAATAATTTTCTGGTCTTTTGCAATAATGAGAAAACAAAGGGAAAAGGTTCCGAGTCATATCAAACTGCAACTGGGCTGCTCCTCCTTCATTGAAGTGATTAGCAAGAATTATCTGAAACAAAGAATAATTCATGTAACAGCTGCCTTTAATTATCATAGCCCAAAAAAACTTTCTACTCTTACTTCTTTTTAAAAATTTTTTTATTTATATAAGCATTACAGTTCATATTATACATATTGAACACAAATTTTTCTTTTTTTTATATATAACAGGGGAATGCATTACAATTCTTATTACATATATAGAGCACAACTCTTCATATCTCTGATTATGATATATTCACAGCAATTCGTGTCTTCATACATATACTTTGGATAATAATGTCCATCACATTCCACCATCATTTCTAACCCCATGCTCCCTCCTTTCCCCTCCCACCCCTCTGCCTTATCTAGAGTTCCTCTATTCCTCCCATGCTCCCCCTCCCTACTCCACTATGAATCAGGTTCCTTATATCAGAGAAAACATTCTGGCATTTTGTTTTTTGGGATTGGCTAACTTCACTTAGCATTATCTTCTCTAACTCCATCCATTTACCTGCAAATGTCATGATTTTATTCTCTTTGTGTATATATGCCACATTTTCTTTTCTTACTTACTTCTTGATATATGTATACATCCAGCTTTTCCACAAGCATTTGCCAGAAAATTTTAAATAAGGAGAAACAAAGCTGCTGTTCCAGTTGAAGTAAACGGTCTCGTAATGTAAGCAATAACGGGCAGGCTGAACTGGATAAGGACATTACTGCCTGTTCTGATTGAGATGGCAAGGATAACCATCTGTTAAGAATAAATAAATAAATAAACTAATTAATTAATTAAAACAAAACACAGCTTGTATTTTTACCCTAAAATTTTTTTAATCACTTTTTATGTGGGGCTAGTTCTGGAGATTTAGCCCAGGGGTGCTTTACCACTGAATTACAATCTTAATAAGTTGTATTATAAGGCTGACCTTGAACTTGGATCCTCTTATCTCAGCCTCTTGAGTAACTAGGATTACAGGTGGGCACCACCATATCTGGCTTATCATTGTATTTTTTAATTCTTTAACAAATTATGTTATATTTGGAGATGTGTATTGCCTGGGGAATTTTGGATGAGAAAACAGGTACAATATTAAAAGTTCTCTCAGAAAGCAAATGTACCTATGTTTATATTTTAGCTGTCAATGAAATACCTTTATTTACTATCAAGATGATACATATACTTTAAATCCCAAAATTTTAATATTTGACTTATTGATATAAAAGTTTTTTAAAAATTAAACTGGGTATGGTGACACACATCTGCAAGCCAAGCTACTCTTGAGACTGAGACAAAGGGATTACAAATTCCAGGCTGTCCTGGGCAACTTAGTGGACCCTGTCTCAAGATAAAAAGGGGTGGAAATGTAGCTCAGTGGTACAGTACTTGCTTAGCATATGCAAGGCCCTGGATTTAATTCAAGTACTGAGAGAAAAAAATTAAAATGTATGTTTTTAAGGTTTGGGGTTGTGGCTCAGCAGTACAGCACTCGCCTCGGATGTGTGAGACCCTGGGTTCGATCCTCAGCACCACATAAAAATAAATAAACCAAATAAAGATATTGTGCCCATGTATAACTAAAAAAAAATTTTTTTTTAATGTATTTTTTAAAAAAATATTTTGTTTTAGTTGTAGTTGGACATAATACCTTTATTTTATTTTTATGTGGTGCTGAGGATTGAACCCAGCACCCCGCACATGCTATGCGAGACTCTACTGCTGAGTAAAATAAACTCAGCCCCTAAAATGTATATTTAGCATTTGAGGCATCAGCTACTTTTATGCTCTAGTTTTCAGCAAAAACCAACAGTGATGAATAACACTTCCAAACTGATTGAGGTCCTCTGTGTGGCAGGGACTGTGGTATGTCAAATACATATTGCTTGTTCTTAAGCAGCTCATGTTCTGGTGGAGGTCACAGATGCCCTCAGGGAATTATGGTAATGGAATAAATTGTACAATGCAAAGATGCACAGGTTGCTGCAGGAGCACCTTACTTTGAAAAACAAGTGACAGGCTGGACTGTTTGACCCTAGCTCTCTGTATTTATAATAGCTGAGGACTAAATTATAGTAGCATAAATTTATTCTGATTAAAAATGTCCAAGAATATATTTTAGGAAGATTTCTATCAAAAACAGTTAAAATTTGGGCCTAGTATGCACAAGGCCCTGCATTTGATCCCCAACATTACAAAAACAACAACAAAAAACTAAAGTTTTGAGTGCAACAGGCCAAACCCTGTTTCTATCTAGACACTGAAAATTTGACTGCATGTACCATCTTTCGACTTTTACTAAACTGGCATAAAGAGTTAACTTATACAAAGTACCTACCTTTCTTTCTTATAAAATTTTGCAGCATCTTTAACTTCTCTAAAAACATGGTCTACTTGACGGGTCAACATATCATGCTTTAAACGCTCTAAGAGGTTAATCATGTCGTCAAAGACAGAACTCTCCATAGAGGCTAGTTGTCCCAGCTGCAATTTACTGAGGGTATTATTCTCTGCAAAAACTTCTAGGGCTGCCTGCTGAAGTTGTAGAAAGAACTGAAACAAAAAATACATTAACACATTTATTAATACACTTCAACATCTTGAAATAGAATTTATATATCATACAATTCGCCCATCTCAAGTGTATATAGTTCAATTGTTGTAGTAAATTTAGAATTGTGCATCCATCACAATTTTAGGACATTGTCATTAACATCTTGGTACCCCAAAACTCTCATTCTTAGCCTTTATCCCCCAATTCTCTCCCCACTCCCTTCAACCCTTAGGCAACCACTAATCTACTTTTTATATGGAACTGCCTACCCTAAGCATTTTAACGTGTGTTTTTTGTGATTTTCTTTATTTAGTATAATGCTTTGAAGTTTTGTAATATTATAACATTAGTATGGTATGTATGTTAATGTATGAACATACTGAATTTTATTTATGCATTCATTAGCCAATAAACATTTGGATTATTCCTACTCTTTATTATGAATAATGCTTCTTTGAACAATTGTGCACAAAGTTTTATGCAGACAGTGTTTTCATTTCTCTTGGTATAAAACTATAGGGGTGGAATTGCCAGATCAAATGGTATTTCTACATTTACTGTTGAAAGAATTGCCAGGCTGTTTCCTATAGCAACTGCTAGGTGCTTAACCACTGAGCCATATCCTGGGCCCTTTTTTATACTTTATTTAGAGACAGGGTCTCACTGAGTTGCTAAGTGCCTCACTAAATTGCTAAGGCTGGCTTTGAACTCAGTCCTCCTGCCTCAGCTTCCCAAGCTGCTGGGATTGCAGGCATGTTCCAGCATGCCTGGCTAGTCATTTTCTTTCTTTCTTTCTTTATTTGTAGTTGTAGATGGACAGACAGCCTTTATTTTACTTGTTTATTTTTATTCGATACTAAGGATCAAACCTAATGCCTCACACATGCTAAGCAAGCACTCTGCCACTGAACTATAGCCCCAGCCCTAGTCATTTTTACTTGTGGTATTTTGCATTTTCCTGATGGCAAACATGCCCGTTTATTCATTTTTCTTGATATAGACTGAGAGTTGTAGGGAACTTGGAATACATGAAATTTAAGAGAGTTAAAATGTCATTTTTACAGGTGAAATTAACATTATCCTTTTTCCTCTTCAGGGGAAAAAAATGCTGTGGCTAATTAGCAAAAGATTAAAAAGAATTTAAATATCCACTGACTGAGGACTGGTTAGTGTTCTTCATACAATGGATTGATATATAGCTTATAGTTAAAAAGAATTAGACAACTCTTTTATGTTCTGAAATGGAACTGACTGAGGACTGGTTAGTGTTCTTCATACAATGGAATGTTATATAGCTTATAATTAAAAATAATTAGACAATTCTTTTATGTTCTGAAATGGAATAATCACCATGTCTTGTTAAATGGAAAAAGCAAATCAGAAGAGTTCCATGGTATGTTATCATTCATATACACACACTCTTGTTTTTTTTGTTGTACTGAGGATTAAACCCTGGGGCACTCTATCACTGAGCTACGTCCCTAGCCCTTTTTATTTTAAGACAGGGTCTCAATAAGTTGCCAAGGCTGTCTTTGAACTTGTAATACTCTTGCCTAAGCCTCCAGAGCCACAGAGATTACCTGTGCCACCACGCCCACCCTCAACACTGTGTTTTTATGAATAGCTTTGGTAGGCTACACAGAAATTGATAAAACTGGAGAGGGTCAGTATTACCACCTATTTTCACTATAAGCCATCTTGTGGCTTTTGAATTTTGTACTACATACATGGATTACATAGTCAATTTTTTTTTTCTCTTTTGCTCCTTTCTACAGTAATCATGTACTTAACTAAACAGAAAAAATGTCACTAATAATAAGCATTTAATAGTAAGATTAGCACTGGGCACAATGGTACACACCTATAATCCCACCATCTCGGGAGACTGAGGCAGGAGGATTGCAAGTTCAAAACCAGCCCCAGCAACTTATCGAGGCCCTAAGCAACTCAATGAAACCCTATATCAACATAAAATATTAAAAAGGGCTGAGGATGTGGCTCAGTGGCTAAGCACCCTTAGGTTCAATCCCTAATACCAGGAAAAAAAAAAAAAAAAGAAAAATAAACAAGAAAAACCGAAAATTCCTTCCTCAAAAATACAACTACAGAATACTCAGTATTCCATTTTTCCAAGGTTATTTTTTTCAAATAAAACTCTAAATGGTATTAAACAATAAATATGTCATAATGAACCATGTTAAAGGCATCAAATATTTGGTTACCCTTGAAATGTTGCCTTAAGAATTTTTGGTTCCTTTGTTTTAAAGTTCTTAAAATGAGCCAGGAGTGGTGGCACACACCTGTAATCCCAGCTACCTGGGAGACTGAGGAAGGAGGATCACAAGTTCAAGGAGAGTCTGGGCAACTTTGTGAACCCTGTCTCAAAATAAAAAAAATAAAAAAGGCTAGGATATATAGCTCACTGGTAGAACCCCCTTGGAATCAATCCAATACCAAAACTAAAAATGGCTAGGGATTTAACTTAGTGGTAAAGTACCCCTGGGATCAGTCCCCAGTACTGCAAAAAAGTTATTGAAATGAAACTCATGAAAAATTGATAGCCGGGCATGGGGCACACACCTGTAATCCCAGTGGCTCAGGAGGCTGAAGCAGGAATATCTCGAATTCAAAGCCAGCCTCAGCAAAAGTGAGATACTAAGCAATTCAGTGAGACCCTGCCTCTAAATAAAATACAAAATAGGGCTGGGGATATGGCTCAGTGGTCGAGTGCCCCTGAGTTCAATCTCTGATACCCCCCACCAAAAAAAGAAAAATTAATAAAATTCAAGACAGGCGAGGTCGTGCATATCTGAAATCCCAGCTACTCAGGGACTTGAGACAGGAGGATCCCAAGTTTGAGGACAGCCTTGGCAACTTAGCAAAGACCCTATCTCAAAAAATAAAAGGGATAGAGATGTAACTCAATGATAAGGTGTTCCCAAGTTCAATCCATAGTAATGCAAATAGCAATAATAAACTAAAAGCCATTTAGAGTTCCCCCAAAGACTTCATGAATGATAAACAAACTGCATAAATAGGAAAATCAGGCTAGGAGTACAACTCAGTGGTAAAGTGCTTGCCTAGCATGTGCATAGGCTCTGGGTTCAATTCCCAGCACTGGGAGGAAAAATCTGATGATCAATTTTCCTAAACATTTACTACTAAAATTTACTACTACTCAACATGAACATAGAATATTACTCAGTCTCTTTCAGTCTCTCTCTCTCTCTCTCTCTCCATATTCATTTACATGGTAATGTGTCATGGCTACTTTTACCTAACCAGCATCTTTTACTTTTCTTTTGATAACAGTACCAGTACCCCTGATTTCCTTTGGGGAAATCACCTCTTCTACTCTGATGTTCTACTCTGAGACAACTAAACTCAGGTGGCATTATCCCTACTCTTTGTTGCCAAAGATGGTAATATCCTGCCCTGGCCACACCAATGTTTCAGGGATGGACTAGTAAGAGATCACCTTGGTAAATCTGCTGAAACTATCAGGGGAAACACAGTCTTTTGAGATTAGGGATGGAACATGTGAGCTTGGAGCCACCTAGAGCCACACGTCCAGAGCCTACCTGAGAATGAAACCAGAAATGAGCTTTAGAACAGCCATTCCCAAGTAATGAAAACCAAGCCAGGCAAGGTGTCACACAAATTCCTTATCCCACTCTATCTCATGACTTAGGCCAGTTCAAATCGAGTTTCTGTCACTTGTAAGTAAAAAATTCCTAATTCTGAATGGCTGGATATTTCAGGCTTGGCATAATCTGCCAACAGTTATCAATAAAGAATATGCAATGAATGGAAATTGAACTCTGTTCTTTTTTTTTCTTTTTTCTAGTTATATAATTACGTAAAAGAGCTTTAATGATTTTTTATTTAAAGCATTCACAGACTGAAGGACATTTTGATATTAAGACAGAATTAGCATCGTAAAAACCATGGTGAGACCTAGTTAATTCGACATAAGATTTTAAGTTTTCTAAGGGTAAGGAAAATGGCTAATTTGTCTTTGTTAACAGTCCCTGGCACCAAGTAAATTAGTTAATGATGTTCCACAAATAATTTCATTGAAGCTAAAAATCTATCCCTGAATGAGTCTCTTATTAGATCATCTGGCATAAGAATCAAGAATGACAATTTGTTTCATACTATTGAAAAAGCTTTAGCAGCAAATGGAGCAGTGTGGGGGCTGGAAGAATACTCACTTAAATTAGAAACACGACACACAAAAGTGCAAAATGAATGAATGTATGCTGATTAGTTGACTTTAGAAATGCACTGATCATTATACTCTATAATCACTTTAAAAATATTTTATTTTCCTCGCTCAGCAGAATGACATTATGCACATGGATTTCTGTTAACATTTTTATAAAAAACAATTTGAAATGATTACTAAGTCCCAGAGTTCAATTAAGAATAAACTACCGCCAGGCATGGTGACACACACCTGTAAATCTAACAGTTTGGGAGGGTAAAACAGGAGAATCCCAAGTTCAAGGTTAGCCTCGTCAACTTAGTGAGATCTTGTCTCAAAATAAAAATAAAAAGGATGTAGCTCTCTGATTGTGATCATTATCAATGTTTTATCTTGTTTATATCTGTTATTGGTAAATTCATTTTTGGTTCATTTGGCTTATTACTGTTTTATTTTGGCTTATTACCTGTTTTTAAGAAAAATACTTTTTTGTTTTGTCTTTTCTTTCATGGTAAATAGGTACAGTGAAGAAAGTTTTCTTCTAGCAGTACACTATAATTTTTTGTTTTATGGAAAACAAAATACACTACATAATGCATTATCACTATAATTTTTTGCCTCAAATTCATAATTTAAAATACATTCTTATCTTATTTCTATACTTCCGCCCTAATCCAGACACTAAATATTTTTTAAATGTCCGTGTTTAAATATGCTTCTTTTCTGCTTTTATTTTTTCTTACTGAATTAAAATATACAGATTTTAAATTAATTCACCTTGTCCATCTTTGTAACACACTTAAAAATTGTGTTTTTCCCCAGCTAGTCAATCTTTCTAATTATATACTTCATAATTTTTAAATTCCCACTTTACCTATCACATATTAAGAGTAATACTTTAAGTTTATAGGTAAAATTATAGTTGTTTTATTGTTTACTTTCCTATTTTTGTTTTATGACATAATTATATATTTATAATGAATGTATCTTCATATTCTTTAACCTGTTTATGTGCAGCATAATTTTTTTACTGTTTAATGTATATTTCACCATCTATGGTCATCCTAGTTCTCTAAAAATGTTTTGTGTCATGAACTTATTTTATGAAACACATAGGTGTTTCAGATGATCTCAGAACAGTGGTTCCCATGCAAGTGTACTTTGTCCAAGAAGGAAGTCTGGGAAGCCCTCTGAGATTACTATAATACTGTATCTAAAATAATTAAAGGAATTAATTTGTCTATATCAAGGCTATAAAAGGCTAATTAGGTTTCTTCACTTCTGGTTAGAAGTACATTTGGAAAATCAGGTTACCAGAAGCCCTGTTAGCCAGTATATTCCTTGGGTTATTTTAGTATTTATCTCTTAGAGATAAATACTAAAATATTTACCATGAAATATGATGTCTGAGGCCTGCTTCAAAATAATTAAATGGTGTTGGGGGATGTGAAGAAGTTGAAATGAAACAGAAGTAGGGTAAGAAGCTGGGTGGCACATGGGGTTATTTTCCTGTTTGTTTAAAAATAGTTATTTATTTGAGGTGCTAAGGATCAAATCCAGAGTCTTGTATATACTAGGTAAGCATTCTACTAGGTAAGCATTCTACAACAAAGCCACATCCCAGGCATTAATAATTTTTTAAATATCTTTTTATTTACTTTTGTTGTGATTGTTGATTTTGGTGATGCTGGGGATTGAACCCAGGGCCTTGTGCATACAAGGCAAGCACTCTACCAACTGAGCAATTATTCCTAGTCCCTATTTATTTATTTTTATGTGGTGCTGAGGATCTAACCCAGGCTGGGCTTCATGCATGCAAGGCAAACGCTCTACCACTGAGCTATAACCCCAGCCCCATAAATAATTTTTTAATGTCTGAAAGAATTAAAATTTTAAAAATGTTTCTATTTTAATGATTCTTTATAATTTGTCATGTTTTGAAGACATTCAAGTGTCAAATTTACTCTTTTATTTTCCTTCAAGTCCTGGATTGATTGATTGATTGATTTGATGGTGTCAGGAATTGAACCCAGAGTCCAGAGATTCATGCAAGCTAGACAAGCACTCTGCCACTAACTAACTATACCTCTAGACCAGAGTCCTGGATTTTATTTATTTTTTAAAAAAATATTTTTGTCAGGGCTGGGATGTGCCTCAAGTGGTAGCGCGCTCACCTAGCATGCGTGAGGCACTGGGTTCGATTCTCAGCACCACGTAAAAATAAAATAAAGATATTGTGTCCACCTAAAACTAAAATATATATATATATATATATATATATATATATTAGTAGTTGTAGATGGACACAATACCTTTATTTTATTTGTTTATTGTACATGGTACCAGGAATCCAACCCAGTGCCTCACCCATGCTAGGCAAGTGCTCTACCACTGAGCCATAACCCAGCCTTTTTATTGATTTTTGACATCATTATTTAATAACAATTTTTCCATGGTGGCAATTACCATATATGAATATTTTCTGAGGACAAAGAAAAATGAAAAGAGGTTCATTCTATGAGCAACTATTTCATGAAAGTTCTTTTTTTTTCAATTTTTTGTTTGTTTTTTGTTTTTGGTGGCACTGGGGATTGAACTCAAGGTCTCATGCATGGTAGGCAAGCATTCTATCACTAAGTCATATACATTTCAGTCTTCCAACGGTTAAGTTCATTAAAATATCAGGATTATTTATCTATTTGGGATTTGACTGAGAAAAAAGTATACTTTAATCATATCTCTGAAGTTTGGCATCATTGTAATTGTGTCTAACATGTTACTTTGCTTACAATAGATTCAACATTTCAAAAGGTCAAAATAGTTCAAACCACTAATATATTTCTTAATATAAAAGTGTGTTAACTCACAACATTGTCAGCCCAGTCTGCTAGTACTGTTGAGATGTAGTTCACAGCATTAAGAATTGCACAGTACCGAAAGCCAAGGGAGGCTCTAGTCTCTTCTTTCATCACCTGAGTTAATCGTATCCTAAAATCATCTACTAAGTCCTTCTGTAACTCCAGGAACTGCAGCTTTCGGGAAGCTGTGGGGAGATTTTTATATCTGTCTGTGGAGAGAGTTAGTAAGACATGAAAGGTTTTGGTACCATCCATAATATAGGCTTTTGCTACTTTGCCAAAAGTCAATTTATCATTTATGTATGGATCTATCTTTTTCTAAATGCTCTAAGAATACAGGTTTCACAGGTATACGTATTTATCAAAAATCACTGAACAGTAAACTGGACAATGCACTTTACATTTTCATATAGTACACTTCACTGTATATAAATCATGCCTTGATTTTTTTAAAAACTCATGAGAAAAATCACATTAAAAAATGCTGCTGAGGGGCTGGAGTTGTGGCTCAGCAGTAAAGCGCTTGTCTAGAATGGGCAAGGCACCATATAAAAATAAGAAATAAAATTAGTTAACGACAGTGTAAGCAACTACAACTAAAAAATAAATATTTAAAAAAAAATGCTGCTAAGCATGGTGGCACACACCTGTAATCCAGCTACTTGGAAGGCTAGTATAGGAGGAGGAGTTCAGAGCTAATCTGGGCAACTTAGTGAGATCCTGTCTCAAAAAAAAAAGGGGGCTGAGGGCTGGGTAGGGTGGCACACACAGAAGCCTAGCAAACACACAGCTCTGGAGGCTGAAGCAGGAGGATCACAGGTTCAAAGCCAGCCTCAGCAACTTAGCATGGCCTAAGCAACTCAGTGTCTCTAAATAAAATTCAAAAAAAAAAGGGCTGAGATGTGGCTCAGTAGTTAAACACCCTTGAGTTCAATGCCTAATACCAAAAAAGGGGGGAGGGGGGCAGGGAATGTAGCTCAGTAGTAGAGCATCCCTGGGTTCAATCCCCAGTACCATAAACAAATTTAAAAAATGCCTCCATTCTGCTGTCATGTATAACTGATTAGAACAAATAAATAAATTAAAAAAAAATAAAGGAGAAGCTCCTAGAGATTAAATAAGATACATATTTAAGGAATTACAGGTGACATGATGTTGAAATGTCCTTGAAAATACTCCAGGGGGGAAAAAGTTGGGTAGAAAAATGTTACAGAAAACACAATTGTTTTGAACCTTGACAATGGGTAATTTTCAAACAAACACAAGGGTCCTGCCTTTGTGTTTGTTTGAAAATGTTCCTAATACAAATTTTTTTAAAGTCACGTGAGTTTTTTCTTAAGTTTTTAAGGGTTTTTCATATTTTTTTCTTATAATTAAGAATACAAAATTATTTACTGATTGGGCTAGAATACACTTCTTCATGTTATGTGACCAAGAAATGGATTGCCAAAGGAGCGGGGAGGCAAAGAGAACTAAGGATGGTGTCAATGAAGGCTTCTGGAACCTGGAGAATCAGCAGGCCTACAGTGGGATGACATGGATGATGCCTACCAACCAGGGCCAGCAGCTGCTAGGTTACTCTCCAGCCAGACAAATCTTGCATGATAAGAATTCCTATTCCAATCTTCAGGGGTTGGGGCTGTAGCTCAGTGGCAGAGCGCTTGCCTAGCATGCATGAGGCACAGGGTTCAATCCTCAGCACCACATAAAAATAAACAAATAAAGGCATTCTGTCTATCTACAACTCCAAAAAAAATTAAAAAGAAAAAAAAATTTACGGTGGCACATGCCTATGGTCTCCCATCAGGAGGCTAAAAGCTAGGAGCTCAAGGGTAGTCCAGAAAAACAGTGAGACTCTATCTCTTGAAAAAAATTAATTTAATTTAGGTCAATTGCCATTACTGAAGGCATTTAAAAGCTAAATGGCAAGACAGTTCAGGTAATAAAATTAAATTCTTATTTAATTGTTTAAATAAAACAATTCAAAAATTTTTCCCTTAGGTATACCAATGTTTAAGTCCTTACTTAAATTATTAAAAATCCAAAAGTTCAAATATTTGTTAGATATCAACTAAAATATAAACTGAATTATAATAACCACTGTATAATATTAATATTTTTTAGCTACTAAAAAAAGTATCATGTGAAAAGTCAATACTTTTAAAACAAAGCCCTATCATGAAACATTTATACTTACCAGTTATAACCAAGAGTAGAGTCATAAAAGTTTCTGCACAGTCTGGAACTTTCATTTCATCTACATCAGTGATATCCTTATATTGGGATACCCAGGCAGCTTCTGATGAAAGCATTGAATCCATTTTTTGAAGAGCAACTGATATGAAGAAAAAAAGGATTATGTCAATTAAGTAATTATGGTCATTCCTTATTTTTTCAACCTATAATTTTTTAGGAATTTTGGACTCTTCTATACAATAAACCCACAATATCCCACTAGTTATAATATATTATTTTCAAATCTTCAAAATAGTTACACTGCCAAGGCATGGTGGTGCACATCTATAATCCCAGCAGCTCAAGAGGATGAGGAAAGAGGATCTCAAGTTCAAAGCCAGCCTCAGCAACTTAGCAACTTCACAAGACTCTCTCTAAATAAAATATAAAAAGGGCTGGGGGGCTGGGGCTTAGAGGTAGAGCACTCACCTAGCATGCGTGAGGCACTGGGTTCGATCCTCAGCACCACAAAAAAATAAAGGTATTGTGTCAACTTAAAACTAAAACATAAAAAAAGGTTTGGGGATCTGGCTCTATGGTTAAGCACCCCTGGGTTGACTCTCAGGCACCAAAAGAAAAAAAAATAGTTACACTGACTACATCCAAAAAGATTCTACCGAGAACAAAAATACTATGTGGTAAATCTATAAAATAGCTATATGCTCTACCAGTTTGCATGTAAAGAAGCATGTAAAGTGTAATTCAAGAAAAAAATATAAAGTTTCATGGGAAGAAAAGAAAATAAGATTATCTCTGAAAGCAACTTGGTAAACTCTCACCAGGAAAATTTTTGATGACTATAGTTCCTACCAGGACTAGAGGCGGAAAACACCAAAATTTATATAACAAAAGAGGTATCTCAATGAGAATAGGAAAGACAGTAGAGTGAATCTGACATAACTTTCCTATGCTCATATATGGATACACAACCATTGAAATTCCACATCATGTACAAACACAAGAATGGGATCCCAATCAGAACAAGTTATACTCTATGTATGATGTCAAAATATACTCTATTGTCATGTATATCTAAAAAGAACAAATTTTTTAAAGTGGAAAAACAAACAACAACAACAACAAAAAAAAAAAAACAGGCATCTCTGTCCTATGGCCACATGAGCACTTACATTTTCTCTCCACAGTCAACCATCTCTGAAAACAGGTTTCCTCTGATAGAATATGCATACAATTAGCAAAAGTGCTAGGATAGCAGTGAACATTGTGTAGCTCCCTTTCAAACAACAGCACCTCATCCACCAAATGACAGAAGAGATTGTCATCATAGAGCAGACAAGGAATATCTGAAGCTAACTTCTCAAGAACCAGCATCATGAGACCCCGAGAAAATTCAAGCTAAAAGAAACACACATGAAAAAAAAAAGAAACATACATGAGGTAAGTAGATAACGAGGTATTCAAGTACAGGTACAACTCTAAAACTGAAACACTTAGGACTGAGTCTCTTACCCTGGCATTTACTGCAGAGCCTGCATTGTCTAATATTGGCTGAATCTTCTCATCCAGAAATTGAGTATGGTTTCCAATCCACATAAGTACCTGAGCCAAGTACCATTCCGGCTAAGGAAGAAGGTAAAATAATTTAAATTTTTCATTTATTCCGAGTAGACAGTCATAATTAAATATATATTTAATTGTAAATACACAACACTTTTTAAAAATTAGTTGAAAATTTCTATGTAGGAGAAAATAATTTCTACTCTGAACTTCAAACTCATGAAAAGCTTAATAACCAAATATTTCTCAATATTCTCCCAACAAATTCCAATAATGTGGTGTAAGCCAATAAACCCATAAATTTAAAATGCCAGAGTGGGTAAAGATATAAAGTGTTTGCCTAGGATGTGCCAAGCCCTGGACTTAATCGTCAGCACCATGGGGGAAAAAAAAACTATATATATTTAAAACTTAGCACTTTAATAACAGATAAAATGAACTGATGGACTTTAAGTTGTTTTTTAAAATTTTTAAACATCATTTTCTTCTTCTTTTTCTTTTCAAATGATAGATTAAGGAAAAAATTGGAAAAAAATTGGCTTAAAACAGGTATAATTATAGAAAGGAATAAGACACGCAGCATTTTAAATTTTCCTTAGAGATGATCTCTGCAAGCATTCCAAGTTTTGTTGAACAAAGATCCAAAAATATTTACGGAGTGGTAAACCTCTCTTGTGTGCTAGATGTTGGGAATACAAAAATGAATAAGGGCAGTATCTAATCTCAAAGGTTGCACAGATTAGACTTGGTGGCAGAGTGCTAAGTCCACTGGGACCATACTTTCAAAAGAAGCCAACCAACTCACAATTTTCTTATATCAACTTATTACTGCCTCTCTACCACTTTAGGTTCATTGCTTTGTCTTATTATTTAGTACTAAGTGGTTCTGCCCTTCCTTCTACCCCATTCAACAAAGGAGACCCATAAAGTGAAGCCACTATGCTCCTTCCTGTGCAAACACACAAACATAATTACCTATTCCTGGATTCCTTTAAAAAAATTTTTTTTTTTTAATGTAGTAGGGATTGAACTCAGTGATATTCTACCACTAAGCTACATTCCCAGCACTCTAATTCTTATTTTGAGACAGGATCTTGCTAAATTGCCCGGCTCAAATTTGGGATTCTCCTGCTTTAGCCTCCTAAGTAGCTGGGATTACAGGCATGTACCACACCATGCCTAGTGACTCCTTTAAAATTCTATGAATTTGATAAGTTTATTTATATGATATGTACAATGCCTAGTGTGATTTGGCATTAGTAAAATTTAAAATACTTACTGAACCCCTAACTATATATGCTACATTAATTGGTAGCAAAACTCAATAGATAAAGTAGTAAATAACTCCTTTTTTCTTTTCTGGTACTGGGGATTAAACCCAGCAATGCTTTTACCATATCCCCAGCCCCTTTTCCTTTTTATTTTGAGACAGGGTCGTGTTAAATTGTGGAAGTTGCCCTCAAACTTGCAATGGTGGGCTAGGAATATAGCTCAGTTGGTAGAGTGCTTGTCTCGCATGCATAAAGTCCTGGGTTCAATCCCCAGCACCACCAAAAACAAAAACAACAACAAAAAAAGGTTGCAATCCTCCTGCCTCTACCTTCCAAGTCACTGGGATTACAGGCATAAACCACCATGCTCAGCCCTCCTAGTAATTTCTAAGATTATAATTTGACTTATTTCTCAAGCCAAATCAAAGAAATATCTCAACAATATGCCTAGTATACACCAGTAAGGTCCCTCAATTAAAATATTGGTGATAATGTCCTCAAAACTGTTTACATTTATTCCCATAATCTCTTTGCACAGCTATAAAGCATTTTAGCATAAGCACCTATATTCAAAACTAATGCTCTACTATTTTGGGGAATTCACTTTTTCTTTCAATATATTTATAAATCCAAAGGAGCAATTTGTACAATGAAACACAGTGGATCCAATTGTAAAAACCGTCACAGCAAATGCTACAGCACCCATAGCAATCCTAGAAACTGGTCATATGACATGCCAATGAGTAAACTGACACCTGCAACATATCTACTTCCAAGTCCCCTATTATAAATGGCAGTGACAAAACATGAATTTAGCTCTTTAGAAGAAAAACAGAAAAGTGAATAGAGGTAAATTTTAAGTTGGTAAAAGTACAGAAATATTTAACATTTACTATTACTAAAAATCAAAGGTAAGAGTTGGCAAAGCACACCTTGCTTATAACATTAGTCTGTCGGTTGCCTCTGAAGTGATACCTGAACCTCTTTTGAAGGGGAGTCAGCATAATCTGGATGGGCAGGATGACAGAAGGGGAAGGTGGAAGAGAATATTTTTCTGGGAGTTCTTTTGGCTCAGTAAGTAATTCATCTCTGACATAGTAAAGTCAAGGAAAAAGAATAAAATATACATACAGACACACACACACATATATATGCACATAAACACTCACACACAATATATGTATACACACAATTTCCCAACAAATGTACCAATACTAAATAAAAATTATGATACAAATAATAAGTCTAACTTTACATTATATACTAGTAAAAAATGCACATTTTTGTTAGAATTAATCTGTAAATCTTTTCTAAAATAAAAATATCAGGAAATTCAACTTATCATTTGATTAGATTAATACTTTGTTACTAAGGTTTCCTCCCAATTGTTCATTCATTCTAGTATATATGATGCAAATATGATGCAAACTTGGGTCAGTCTCTGTCTCAGAACTCTTCCTTGCAATACTCTGGCCCACACAAAGTTCACTTTGCAAAAGAAAAATCCACAAATCAATGGTCATTGATACATCAAGTCCAACCCAGGACTCCCATTTGGTTCTTGACCACTTTCAAAAAGTTTTACTCTATAGCCACAAATCCACTCTATAAAGAAGAAATTTCAGTTAAGTTTTCCACTTTGACAAAGATACGAGGTTTGCAGTTTCAATAACTGACAAAACAATGTCTCCAGGTTACTGTATATCTCGGGGGCACTGGTGGGTCGGTTTAAGCCAACAGTTTGAGATTGAGGGGGCACAATGAATGGCCAATGAATCTGTGCTAAAACTTCCTCAAAATCGCTGAAACAGAAAACAAATACACATTTCAGTACAAAGTTATCAAATAATTGCCAAATATCCAACTGAAAGTAATGACCATGAGATATGGGTAAATTCTCTACCTTGTAAGCTTGTCCTTGAGAATTTTATGCCAGAATTTAACTGTGGCTCTCATGAAACTGAGAAGATGAGTACAGGATGATTCCTGAAGTTTAATGTCAAGTTCTGTCATAGCCACCAGAATAGAGGCTGCCTCTGGCACATTATTGGTCATCAGATATTGTTGAATGTTATCACTGTAAAACAAAGGAAAGAAAATAAACTTAAGGAAAATTTATTCAGAATAATTATAAATTTGGAAAAAACGATTCTCCCTCACATTTTATATAAAGTTACATCCAAGGAAGAATGAAGCACCACCCTGATGTGGCTATTTAACCTAACGCCATGTCTCTCTTGGATCCTGGAGTCCTCTAAATTTCTTAGCAACCTTCTAAGAGCAGCAAGCAGCCCATGTTCAGGATAGCATCTGTTAGGGTCAAGTACAATATCTTCAATTGTTATTTCTTTTGCCTAACAAATCTTGATTTCCCACTTCAAAGAAATATATTGCAAACTAAGTGTTCCATTATATTAGAATAAAGATTACTGTGCTTAAGATATATATAAATGTTACAAAAGAAACTTAAAATGTACAAGTAACCACAGAATATAGAAGGATTGCTTTCTAGGATGATATATATCTCTACAGAACACCGAAGAATAAAAGACATTTTAGAGCCTAAGAAAAGTCTCCATTTGGAGTGATACTGAGGTACTGTAGAATTCATGAAACAGAACAAAGCTGCTAGTCCTAACAAGAAGAAACTACTTAAATTAAAAGAGAGAATTACAGAAGCTAAAAAAAAAAAAAAAAAAAAAGCTAGAAATAGAGAGGTTAC